AAATTCCAAGACTTCCTCTGTCATCAGAGATACCCCATTGACTGAGTGTCTGGTGTAGTATCACATAAATTTCATAATGTTGTTGGCCTTTACTTAAAAAAAACAATACAACACAACAAAACCCAGCGTGTACTCCTTGACTCAGAAGAGTGAATTTAATAGTTTGTGTTTGTGTTACTGTTAAAGGACAGAAAAAGAGGTGGCCTAATGGAGGGGCAGGGAAACTCATTGCTGTCGAGTCGGAACCAACTCATAGCAGACCCTCCACTGGGTTTCTTGAAAGCTTTAATCACATGGGAGGAGGCTGCCGGTCTTTCTCCTACAGAGTTCTGGTAGAGTTGAACCACCAGAGAGGTGCCACCTTTAGGTTGGCAGCACAACTCTAGTACCCACCTGTGCTCCCTCATGGGGTCATTATGAATCAGAAATTATAACAACAGAGCATCCTAGTGTTTTGTAGCAGGAGTTGGCAAATTGCAAGTTTTGATGGCTTATGGACTTTTTTGCTGTCCCCATAACTCTTGAGCTAAGAATAGTTTTATATTTTCTTAGAGCTATAAAGAAAATAAATTAATACGAGACAGAGACTGTTTGTGTACTGCAAAGCCTGACATATTTATTATCTGGCTTATTACAGAAAAAAATTCTTGTTAACTTTTATCCTATAACTCAGGACCAAATTGGTGGGAACTGACATGCTGGATATGATCAAAGATCACAGAATGGTAAAGGGAGGGTTACTTGTTAGAGGGGTGTTGGTGAAAGTGGGCAGTTAGATATCTCTTTAGCAGAGGAATAAGTAAATCCAGAAGAAAGCTAATGGATTGGATGAAAATAGAGGCAGTTTGTGGCTAGATGGCATAATGAGAATAAATATCAATATCAGGAGATAAAAAGTTAGAGGTATAGAAAGTGGACAAAAAAAATAAAAAGAAAGTGGACAGAGTTGATTGAATCTTGGAAATTGTTGCGTAAAACTTTTCAGCGAGTAACTGAAATCTCTGTTAATGAAGTCAGGATATTGATTGAAGCTTCTGTAGTTATAGATAATTCCATTTTGGGGAGAATGACAAGAAAACTGTAAGAATAGAGTGAATTAGATTACCTAAGTTATTTAAGAAAGTAGAAATGAACTTGGAATGTGGAGTAGATGATGGTAATGAAGTAAGAAGACTGTTCTAAGTAGTTAGAATATTGTAATGAAGGGCAAAATGATGGTGCCAGTTAAGTGATCCTCGGTTTGGCCTGGCAGCTGAGGTTAGGCTGTCCCTTCTCTTGAGTTGTTAAACTATAGAAAGCATAAAAAAGTTTTCTATAGAAAGTTAAACTTTAGAAGGCTGCACAAAGAATTAATAAGTAGCAAATCAGCTGTACAGCCTCTGAGTGTAGGGAGAGCAAAGAAGTAGTTTGGTTTGACGTTATAAAATGAAGCCTTCAAAATAAAATTATTTGATTTTCACAGAGAGCACTGGTTTTTACATAAGTGTGTAAATGTTGCATTCATAAAATTTGCCCTATAATTTTTTTCTTACTTAGCACTAGCAGTTTTGACTATATAAAATTTATTTGGTAGCCTAGTGGCAGAAAGCTGTGCTGCAATCCCAAAGGCACATGGCTTGAGGCCACCAGCTGCTCCGTGGGAGAATGGGTAGTCTCGTCCATTGCGATTAACTGTCTCTGAAAACCCACCATAGGGTCAGCTATGGTCGGTTCCAACTTGACAGTACACAACAGTAATGAAATTAACAGATTAATAATAAAATTATTTTATTTTACTTTATTTAGAACATAAATGTAACCTGGCCAGTTGTTGAAACTATCTGGTTTGAATTGATTGGGCTATTAAGTAATTAGTATAAACAGATCTGGCAGAGAATACCAGAAGAATGTCTGTGTTTCATTGATTATGCAAAGGCATTTGACTGTGTGGATCATAACAAACTGTGGCTGACTCTGGGAAGAATGGGAATCCCAGAACATTTAATTGTGCTAATGCGAAACCTGTACTTGGATCAAGAGGCAGTAGTCAGAACAGAGCAGGGTAACACTGCATGGTTCAAAATTGGGAAGGGTGTACGCCAGGGATGCATCCTGTCTCCATACCTTTTCAACATGTGTGCAGAGCAGATTATCCGAGAGGCTGGGCTCTATGAGGAGAATTGTGGCATCAGGATTGGTGGAAGATCTATTAACAATCTGCGTTATGCAGATGACACAACCCTGCTTGCTGAAACTGAGGAGGACCTCATGCACTTGCTGCCAAGGGTCGAGGACTGCAGCCTTCAGTATGAACTGAGGCTCAAATGTCAAGAAGACAAAGATTCTCACCACTGGACCAATTGGCAGCGTCAGGATGGATGGCGAAGAGATTGAGATTGTTCACAGCTTCAGTTTGCTCGGCTCCACAGTCAACACTCTTGGCACCAGCAGTCAGGAAATCAAAAAGCGTATCGCGATGGGAAAGTCTGCTGTTAGGTACCTCTCTAAGGTACTCAGGAGCAACAATGTCTCTCTGGAGACTAAGGTGCGCCTGATACAGGCCATGGTATTTGCAATCGCTTGTTATGCATCAGAGAGTTGGACAATGACTAGGGAGGACAGAAGGAGAGTGGATGCTTTTGAGCTGTGGTGCTGGAGAAGAGTACTGAATGTACCATGGACTGCCAGGAAAACAAACAGATTCAACTTGGAGAGGATTAAACCAAGCTACTCCTTGGAGGCAAGGATTCTGGGGCTTCGTCTGACATACTTTGGACATGTTGCCAGGAGGGATGGGTCCTTGGCAAGGGACATCATGCTTGGGAGGGTGGAGGGACAGCGCAGGAGGGGAAGACCCTCTATGAGATGGATTGATTCGGTGACTGGGGTAATTGGGATGGGTGTGTCAGAGGCAGTGCGGTTGGCGCAGGATAGAGCAGGGTTTAGGGCTGTTGTGCATAGGGTCGCTATGAGTTGAAAACGACTCGACGGCACATAACAACAACAATATTATATAAAGGGAGCTCAGTGTCCTAATGGTAAGATGCTCTGCTGCAATTCCAAAGGCATGCAGCTTGAATCTACCAGCTAGTCCACAGGAGAAGGATGGCCCGTCTCCTCCCATACGATTTACTGCCTCTGAAAACCAGCTGAAGGGTCAGCTGTGAGTAAATTCTGACTCAACAGAACACAACAATAGCATATTGTATATACATCTTTATTATTAGTTGTACTTATAGGAATTTAAGGACCCCTAGTGGCATAATTCACATCTACCAACTGCTCCATGGGGAGAAAATGGATAGTCTCCTTCTCTGTAGTTAGTTGCCTTCTGAAAACCCATTAGAGGGCCAGCTGTGAGTCGATTCCAGCACAGTAGCAATGAGTTAGTGGTGGCATAATGATGTAACATATCAAACTGCTAGTATAAGGTCAAAGTACAGATCCACCAGGCACACTGCAGGAGAAAGATAGTCTTCTCTCAGAAAGATTTATAGCTTCAGAAACTTGAAGACATTTGTTATGAGTTTTGAAAGACATTTGTTATGAGTTGAGACTGAAGTTATGTCAGTGGGTTTGGGCTTAGGCTTGGGGTTGTTTGGGTGTGTTTTTTTTTTAACAGAAACTAGTATATTAGCCATTCAGGATCAAGAGTAGAGAATTTCTTTAGCCTTTGAAAAGATGGAACCAAGAGGCTTACAGGGTAACTACTTCACTGTTTTTTTCTATGTTGATGGGTAAACAGTTTCAGAAGAGACTCTTAACTGTACTGAAGAGTACATAGAGTTGTTGTTGTGTACCACTGAGTAGGAATTGGCCCATAGTTGACCCTCTGACAGGTGTTCAGAGGCAGTTAATCTCACAGGAAGAGAATGCCCATCCTTCTCCCATGGAGTAGCTGGTGGACCTGAACTGCACGTCTTTGAGGTTGCAGCACAGCATCTTGCCACTAGGCCACCAGAGCTCCCTTGTAAGCCACCAAAAAATTTTGTCCCACAACATTAATTACAATACACAATTTCTGATCATCCATTCATTCCACATTGTTCAATACATCACCCATAATAATAAATAATCATTGTCTTACCAGTTTTCTACTTCCCCTATTCCCCCTCAGTCATCTTCCTGTAACTATACTAGATTGATTGTTCTGTATGTAAACCTTTCTTTAACTTTTTATAACAGTGATCTTATACAGTATTTGTTCTTTTGTAAAAGACTTATTTCTCTTCAGCATAGTGTCTTCTAGATTTGTCCATGTTGTATAATGTTTCACAAATTATTGTTTTTTACTGTTGCATAGTACTCCATAGAATTGGACTTTTTTCTGACAATATGAAATCTTAAGATATTTAAAACTTAACTTTAAATGGTACTTTTCCAGTTTGGAAGTCATCTGCAGCAGCCGGATTCTACAGAGGTTTGTTTGCTGGTTCTATTGTTTTTGGTCAAACATTCTTCTAAGTGGTATAGTACTGGCCTGTCCATTTGCTGTGCTGAGGTAACTCGTGGTTGTTGTGATGCTAAACACTGTGACACTGGTGTGTCAACTGTGATAATGGTTACCCATGGTGGACAGTGTTTGGTGGAGCTTCCCAATTCAAACAAGCTTGGAAGCAGGAGTAGCATCCACTTCTGAAATAGCTTGCTTCCAGAAACTCTATGAACGTGGAAAAATGATGGAAGTGATACAAGTATTCAGGTCTTTCGTTCATAGAGTCTCTAAGAGTTGTCTACGACTTGACGGCACTTAACAACAACAACAACAACTTTTAGCATTATATGTATGACAATATGGAACAAGGGGTGCATTGCAGGGAAGCTGAGGTGGGGGAGGGGGGAAATGTGCAATAAGGGGCGGAAAACCCTATCTTAAATGATACTTTTATTTTAAATGGCATTCAGTGAATAACCTTTGGGGATGCTTTTAAAGATTGAGTTACATTTCTTTTGACTCATAAAAAGATAATGACTTCAGTATAGAATTCACATTGATATTGTGTGTGTTTCTTTTGCCTCAGTTTTTATTACAAAAAATATAGCAAAAACACAATCTTCCCCTTCCAAAGTGACCCGACGTTCAATGCAGTCTCCACAGAAAACTGAATCAACATCACCAACACAGCAGGTCAAGAAATTGGGTCGGACTAAACCACCTGGACAGACTTCAATCTCCAAAAAGGGCAGTTTTCTTAAAAATAACACATCAAAGAAAAAAGGACAAAAGGTTAGTGCTGTTTCCTGCTCTCTGATTTGTATGTTAAGTCTGTGTCGTGTTTTATTTGTAAAATAGTTTGAGAATTTTGTAAAGTTTATAGTGAGAACCTTTAGGAATATGCAAAGATATATAAGTTATTTATTTCTTTGCATAGCCATTGAGTTGGGTTTTTATTAGTTGTTTTGATTGCGGGGTGGTGCTTGTAAACTTAAAAACTTTAGTACCTATTGACTTCACAGAAATGCATTATAAATAATAAAAGCATAGAGAGATTGAAAGTATATGAATCTGAACCTTCCCAGATCTGTTGTTGTTTGTGCCACGAAGTTAAGTTTAACTACTAGTACAAGTTAAAACTGCCCCCTAGGGTTTCCTAGACTGTAATTTTTATTGAAGCCAACTACCATATCTTTCTTCCTTGGAGCAGCTGGTGAGTTTGAACTGCTGACCTTTTGATTAGAAGCCGAGTGCTTAACCATTTTGCCACCAGGCATCCTTTCCCAGATCTGTTGAGGCTGCATTAAATTTCAGCAATATTATTTTAAACACTTCTGAGCTTGGCAAGTTGATATAAATGAGGGTAATATTTGTTTTGTTTTAGCTAATATGGAGCAAATTTCTGTTTTTTTTAGCTAATTGTTGTTGTTATGTGCCGTCGAGTTGCTTGTGATTCATAGTGACCCTATGTTCAACAGCCCTAAACTCCGCTCTGTCCTGTGCCAATCGCACCGTCTCTGACACACCCATCTCAATTACCCCAATCACTGAAGCAATCCACCTCATAGTGGGCCTTCCCCTTCTGCGCTGTCCCTCCTCCCTACCAAGCATGATGTCCTTCTCCAAGGACCTGTCCCTCCTTGCAACATGTTGAAAGTATGTTAGTCAGAGCCTTAGAATCCTTGCCTCCAAGGAGCAGCCCGGTTTGACCCTTTCTAGGATGAATCTGTTTGTTTTCCTAGGAGTCTATGGTACTCTCAATACTGTTCTCCAGCACCACAGCTCAAAGGCATCAATTCTCCATCTATCCTCCTTAGTCATTGTCCAACTCTCTGATGCATAACAAGTGATTACAAAGACCATGGCCTGTATCAGACGCACCTTAGTCTCCAAAGAGACACCATTGCTCTTCAGTACTTTGGAGCGGTCCCTAATAGCAGACTTTCCCATGGCAATACATCTTCTAATTTCCTGGCTGCTGGTGCTGAGAGTGTTGACTGTGGAGCCAAGCAAACTGAAGCTGTGAACAATCTCAGTCTCTTTACCATCCATCCTAATGCTGCCAGTTGGCCCAGTGGTGAGAATCTTTGTCTTCTTGACATTGAGCCTCAATCCGTATTGGAGGCTGCAGTCCTTGACCCTCTGCAGCAAGTGCTTCAGGTCCTCCTCAGTTTCAGCAAGCAGGGTTGTGTCATCTGCATAACGCAGATTGTTGATAGATCTTCCACCAATCTAGACCCCACATTTCTCGTCATAGATCCCAGCCTCCCGGATAATCTGTTCTGCATACAGGTTGAAAAGGTATGGAGATAGGATGCATCTTTGGCGTACGTCCTTACCAATTTTGAACCATGCAGTGTTCCCTTGCTCTGTTCTGACGACTGCCTCCTGGTCCAAGTATAGGTTTCACATTAGCATGATCAAGTGTTCTGGGATTCCCATTCTTCTCAGAGTCAGCCACAGCTTGTTGTGATCCACACAGTCAAATGCCTTTGCATAATCAATGAAACACAGATAGACATTCCTCTGGTATTCTCTGCTTTCAGCTAAGATCCATCTAACATCACCTACAATATCCCTAGTACCACGACCCCTTCTAAACCCAGCCTGGACTTCTGGCAGTTCTTTGCTGATGTGCTGTTCCAGTTGTTTTTGGATAATCTTCAGGAGACTCTTGCTTGCATGTGAAATCAATGATATTGTTCTAGAGTTTCCACACTCAGTTGGGTCACCTTTCTTTGGGATGGGAACAGATATAGATCTCTTCCAGTCAGTTGGCCAAGTGGTTGTTCTCCAGATTTCTTGGCACAACTTGATGAGCACGTCCAGGGCAACATCTGTTAGCTGAAATATGTCAATTGGTATATTCCTGTGGACTTATTTTTTGCTGTTTGCTTCAAAGCAGCTTGAACTTCTTCCTTCATCACCGTAAACTCTTGCTCATATGTTGTTTCATGACATTCTTCTATGTCTGCCAATTCTTTCCGATACAGTGACTCAGTATATATGGTTAAACAAATATCTGTTTTGTTTTAACTAACACAGAACAAAACAACAGTACAAGTGCCCTTTTTTGCTTAAATAAAATTTTTATCTTATACTGTTTTACTTAGAAAGTTTGTATACGTTGTTTTTCACACAGCATCTTTCCCCTTTCCTTTACTCACCCCTCCTTCCAGCCATCAAATTGTGTAATCATGTGATGATGCCCCCTGCCCATCCCCCCTTTGCTCCTTCTTACCCCCCATGGTTCCTTATACACATTCTACAAGTGTTATTCACCACAGCAAGAACATGGAAACAGCTCATATGTCCAACCACAATGGAGTTGATTGAGAAATCATGGTACATTCACTCATCCAGCATACAGCAATGATTTTGTAAATTACTACTTAACTTGGGAGGGACTGGAGAGTATTATGCTAAGTGAACTAACTCAGGCCTAGAAGGACAGCACCCTTAAAAAAATTTTTTTTAAAAGCCCTTTTTAAAAATACTGATATTTTTTAAAACATTGAAAATTTCAAAAATAAAATTCAAAAGTAAAAATTAATATACTCCAAGTATAAAGTCAGAAGCATTTTTAAAGTGTATTTTAATGTAAATTAAATTAATAGAGAGCTCTGATGACTCAGTGGTAAGGAGAGCTGCAGTGCCAACCCAAAGGCACATGGCTCTATTCCACCAGCTGCTGCTCCAGATGGGCAGTTCAGTAACTCCCTTTGGAATTTACTGACTCAGAAAACCCACTGGAGGGTCAGCTATGAGTCAATTCTGACTCAATCAGCACATAACATCAACAATGTAAATTAATAGGTATTCTTTAAAAATTAAAAATAAGCTACTTAAAAGTAATAAAAGCTCTTGATGAGGATTTTAAATGAATTATTGTTTTTTTATTGATTGATACATGTGTTTAATGCAGATTTTCTAACTGCTAGAAAAGATTTTTTGATAAATTGGTATAATGATGAGTAAATAACTCCAAATTGTTTCTTTTTACTCTTTACCACAACCTTTTTTTTTTTTTTTCATTTTGAGGACAGCTTTTTTGAGGGAGTAGGCAGAGACTGTTACAATGTGTATATGTATAAATAGCAAAGTGGTTTTGTTTTAAAAAATATTTCAGTTCACTTTTCTCTTTGACTTTATTATTTTATCCTTGTGAACATTCTCATCGAGTTTCCTGCATCCTTGTTTCAATACTACTGCATTCATAGTTTAGCTATTCAGAAAGTCTTTGAACTAGAAGAATTATACTTGCCAAAGACTGCCATTGTCATCATGGTCTTCTCCTAATCAGAGATGTATAGAAGCATATTTTCTAAGTAAATTTACCTTTGTTCAGTTTTCCATGATAATGTAGACATCTTATATGTATCAAAGAATTTTAGGCTTAAAATGCTGAAAGAAAAAAATTTTATCACCACAATAACTGTAATTCAGTACTTGAAAATAACAGGATTTACTGGAATACTGTGAATAACATTCATTTGTTTAAACAAAGAAGCATCAAACAACATTGGATGTTATCCTGCTGTTTTCTCTGTCGTGCCTTTTAAATGTTCACTGTTAGTACTTTTTCTTGGGGCAAAAGACCCTTCTGTTATATTGGACAGTATTTGAAAGTAGAGCTACCAGAAAACCCCTAAAGCTGGTATAAAATAAGCAGAACTCACCAGTGCCCAGAGACATTTGGTTCCATAGTTATTATATAGACTTAAGCAAACCACTTGTAATTTTCCCAGAGTTCTTGATATAATATGGAGAAATGCAGGCATACAGTGAAGAAAACTTTATAAAGTCAAGTTCTATCCTTATTGATTTGTTGTGTTCTGTCATTGTTTGTTTTACATTAGAAATTTACAAATTTTCTTTAGCAGTGCCTAAAACCCCCACAAACTTGTCTTACCCAGAAACTCAAAATAGAAAGCAGGTTTTACAGAATTAGCTATTTTACTTAAAGTGTGATAATTTAGCATATAGGGTAGGGATGGAAATTTCATCCTCCAGCTTGTTCCCTACTCACCTGGACAGCCCTTAAGCCTCTTGAAAGGAAGGACTATAGTGTGTGAGACACATGCTTTTTCAACCCTGAGGATTCCTGATAAATAGTAATTTTATGGACCAATGATGCAACTGATTTCCAGACCTTGTTGTTGTTGTTGTTGTTGTTGTGTGCCATCGAGTCGCTTGCGACTCATAGGGAACCTAAGTACAACAGCCGTAAACCTTGCTCTATCCTGTGCCAGTCGCACTGCGTCTGACACACCCATCCCGATTACCCCAGTCACCGAATCAATCCATCTCATAGAGGGTCTTCCCCTCCTGCGCCGTCCCTCCACCCTCCCAAGCATGATGTCCCTCTCCAAGGACCTCTCCCTCCTTACATGTCCAAAGTATGTTAGACGAAGCCCCAGAATCCTTGCCTCCAAGGAGCAGGCTGGTTTAACCCTCTCCAGGATGAATCTGTTTGTTTTCTTTCTCAGACCTCCTTACCTAGGAATTTTTCTAAAGCTAATATATATTTGTGGGGTTTTTTTCTTTTTAAATAGGAAAAAAGTCTTCCTGCTTTGTGTTCTACATCTGCAACTTGTGTAAATTTGGTGACCAGTAACCATAGCAATCCTCAATATGATAAGGATGCCATTCCTGGGACATCTAAAATAGTGATGTCTACAGGTAAACCAATATTTTAAAAGATTGTTAAATAATTTTTACCCTGTGTTCTTTTCAGTGTCTTTGAGGTCATGGAAATGAAGGGGAGGGAGATAAGAATAAACATTTTTAGTGTCAGTGTTTATATTATTTTGAAGTTAGGAGTGTTCAAATTATATTTCACGAATAGCAGTCTCTTTAAATAGACAAGTCACTTGAAAAGTCAGTACCCTAAGAGTATTTTATCTTTGTCAGTAAGATTTAGAAAATTTTACATATTTACCACATCTGTACTTGTTTCCCATTTATCTCTTTTTGCATTTATATTGTCTTTGTATTCCCTGAGTTTTTAAAGCTACCTTAAACTTTTTTTATAAATGGTTTACTAGAATATTCTTTTTAACAGGTCCTTGCCTGTCAAGGGGCATGGTGACTTTAAATTACCTCTTTGTGAAGAATTTGAAGCAACACAGACTCAGTGAAATAAACCTTTCTCTTTTTTTTTTTTTAATTCTCTGTACATATCTTCCTTTGTTTTAAAGCATGTTTTATTTCTGCTTCTCCTATATCCTTACTTCCCTTATGCGCTTCTAGTTCCTGGACATTTCCCCCAAATTTTTCTTCCCTGACTAAAAAGAACTTAGAATTTATATTTTTTAAAAAATAAAAATTACTTTTTAAAAAAGACTGAAAACAAATATTTTTTTATTTTTTGTCGGAAACTAAGTATAATGCAAGGACAATAAAATACTGAAATCCTGGCTTAGCATCACTTGTATTCAGTAGAACTTTGCCCATGCTGTCAGCACAGCTGGCTGAGTTTTGAATGACTACAGTGCCTTCATGTTGTGTTGCGTGCTGATTTGCTTTTCTCAGTGAGGAAAAATTATTGAATCTTGGTATTTGTGTGAATATAGATTAATTGCTTCTATATCATATGCTTTTATTATACTGCTTATTTTCTCATTGCTGTTTAGTTAGTACCAACTCATAGCTGACCTTCTAGAAGGTTTTCAAAGACTGCAAATCATATAGAAGGAGATTACCCATCTTTATCTTGTGGAGCAGCTGGTGGATTTGAACTACTTACCTTTGCATTGGCATTGCAACTCCCTATCCACTAGGCGGCCAGAGCTAGGAAAGAGCTTTTTTCTTTTTAATTACTTCTGTGAGCCTCAGCATATATGCTGTTGTTGTGTACCATCAAGTACACAGCAGGTTTTCAAAAGCACTTCATCACATGGGAAGAGATTGCCCATCCTTCTCCTATGGAACAGCTGGTGGTTTTGAATCAGCATGCCTTCTTGCAACTAGGCCACCAGAGCTCCCTTTCATTATATCTAGAAAGAACATTTCCCCCCCCCCTTAAAATTAGTTAAAATTCTTTATGTTATTAACTTATTGTGACATATTCCTTAAATTATTTGGTTACTTTAGAAAGTACAATATTGGTGATTTACAGTAAATCCACTCTAAACTGTAATGTACAAGCATGATTGATTTTGAAAGAAAATTCTTATACTGTGGGCATAATTTACTTACTCCATTGCCATTGTGTTAGAGCCAACTCAGAGCTGAGTTGGGTTTCTATATCAAACATGTATCTCCCCCATTGGGCTTCTGAGGCTGTAAATCGCACATGAGATTGCCCATCTTTTTCCTATGGAACCCCTGGTGGATTCTAACTGTTAGGGAGGCATGGCCTTATCTTTATGCCATTTTATATAATGTGAGAATATGTGAAAAATTACATTCTTATATTACTAAAATGTGTAATTTTTACTTGGAGGAAATTGAATAAGCATTTCAATTTTCTCTTTGTATATTTAATATATTTACTCAAATGTGAAAACTTTTTACATACATATTTTAGGAAGCAGAAATGATCATTGATAGTAATTATGATTTCAGTTCTTTTTGAAGAAAATAGCGAATTGGAAATAGTAACTATTGTTTTCACAGTTTTTTTTTTAACAAATTTCGGTTTATTACATCTTTTTACTCATTTTCCCCAAGTCTGTGTCTATGTAAATAAACATGGAAACTCTGGTCCTCACCTGGATCAGAAGAGAATCCAACAACTGCCTGACCACTTCGGCCCTGGCCCCGTGAATGTTGTGCTCCGACGGACTGTGCAGGCCTGTGTGGACTGTGCCCTTCAAACTAAAACCGTTTTTGGATTCCTTAAGCCAGACCATCGTGGAGGAGAAGTGATAACTGGTAGGTGCATATAATTCTTTCTGAAAGTTCTCCATATTTGATTTTAGGTGTGAAGAAGGCAAGCACTCTTGCTAATATTGGTGGTTTGACAAATATATGCAAACCCTTGTTCATTGCAGCATTATTTACAGTAGTAAAGAGAAACAACCCAGGTGTCCAACAGTGGACTAACAGATAAAGAAGCTATAGTAGAGTACTACGCAATACTACCACAAGCCATGCTCAAGGCCTGGCTGATGTCAGAGAGTAGAAGAGATAAAAAAATGCTGCTTCCATTGCTTCCTGTAAGCAAAATATTATAAAAATATGCAGAGAAGTGGAATTAGAGAATAACTTGCTCAGAATTTCTCAAGCTGAAATAACTGGAAAACAAATCCAAGGCTCAAGTTGCAGTACTTCGAAATGCTATGAGCAAAATCTTGAATGACCCAGGACGCATCAAAAGAAGATGGAGGGAATATACACAATCCTTGTATTCAAAAGAAGTGGCTGACAGTGAAATATTTCAGGAAGTACCATATGACGAAAAACCAATGGTAATGAAGAAGTTCAAGCAGCACTGAAGGCATTGGCAAAAAATAAGGCCCCAGGAATGGATGGGATACCAGCTGACTTGTTTCGGTTAACAGATGTAGCCCTGTATGCACTCAACAATCTGTGGCAGGAAATTTGGATTATAGTTACCTGATTCACTGGAAGAGATCCATATTTGTTCTTGTTCTCAAGAAAGGTGATCCAACAGAATGTGGAAACTATCAAACAGTATCATTAATTTCATATGCAAGCAAAATATTGCTGAAGATCATTAAAAAAAAAAGAAACACAGCTAGAACAGAACATAGAGAACACCAAACGTTAAAGCTAGATTTAGAAGAGGCCATAACGCCAGGAATATCATTGCTGATGGATCCTGACTGAAAGCAAAGAATAACAGAAGAATGTCTATTTATGCTTTATTGACCATGCAGAAACATGTTATTTTCCTTCATTGACTATGCAAAAGATAACAATTTATGGCTAACATTGAGAAGAATGGGAATCTCAACACTTAATTTTATTCACATGAAAACTATGCTTAGACTAGAGGCTGTTGTACAGATAGAGCAAGGGAACACTGCATGGTTTAAAATGAAGAAGGGTGCCCTCCATACCTATTCAGGATATATGCTGAGCAAATAATTAGAGAAGCTGAACTCTATAAAGAATAGAGTGTAGCATCAGGATCCCAGGAAGACTCATCAGTAACTTATGCAGATCACACAATCTTGTTTGCTGAAAGTGCAGCTCATCATCCTCCCAAACTGATTCATTTTGCAATGAGTCTGATGCAATTTACTCAGTATAAAAATGTCTTAGACAATTAGGGGAATGAACGGGCAGAAGATCAAAGAATACAGACTTTGGAAGTAAAGTACAAAACCATAAAGTTAATCAGAGATAAACTGGTATCAAACTTAGTTGGCCTGGGGTATGGTATAAAGAGACTGCCAAATACAGCCAAAAATGCACAATCTGGAGAGGATACAGTTGATGAATGGGACCTTCTAAAAATTAAATTTCTGTGCGTATCAAAAACTTTTTCCAACAGAGTGAAAAGAAAACCTACTAACTGAGAAAAAAAACATTTGGCTATACCATTTCAGACAAGGGTCTCCTATCAAAAGTCTACAGAGTCCTACAGGGCTTCCACAAGAAAAAGACTGATCACACAATTACAAAATGGACAAAAGACATGGAAAGAATTTTCATAGAAGAAGAGATTCAGATGGCCAACATACACATGAAGAAATGCTCAAAATTACTGGCAATAAGAGAGATGCAAATCAAAACCACAATGAAATACCATTTCATTCCAGTAGCAGTGACAAAGTTTAACTGGACAGCAAGTAATAAATGTTAGAGAGGATGTGGAGAGATAGGAACTCTTATACACTGTTGGGGGGATTGTAAAATGATATAATGACTCTGGAAGGCCATTTGGCGTTTCCTCAAAAAGCTGAACATAGAAATTCCATATGAACCAGCTGCTTGGAATATATCCCGAGAAAGTGAGAACTGAAGCACAAATGGAGACTTTTATACCAGTGGTCATAGCACCATCGTAAGAACATAAAAACAACCCAGATGTCCAACACAAATGAATGGATTGAGGAGTTGTGGTACATTCAATACAATGGAATACTATGCAGCACGCAGGAGTAATCAGTTTGTAAATTACTTCCTAACTTGGGAGGAACTAGAGAACATTATGCTGAGCGAACTAACTCAGTTCCATAAGGACTAATATTGTATAAGACCATTATTATAGAAAAGTGTATGAGGATCCAAAGGGAAGGGAGGGTGAGAGTAGAGGGGTGAGGATGGGTGGAGGGCATAATCATAGGGTCGCACAATTTGATGAGTGGAGGGAGGGGTGAGTTAAGGAAATGTGAAAGATCCGGTTTGAAAAATATTGTATACGGAATTTATAAGTAAACCAGAATGAAATGAAAGTTTAAAAAGAAAAAATACAGCCATCAATATGGATTGCATCTGAACATCAAGAAAACAAACATTCTACCACTGGACAGATAGGCGACATCATGATTGATAGATGGAGAAAAAAATTGAAACTGTCCATGATTTCATCTTGGATCCACAATCAACACCTTTGGTTTCAGCAGTCAGAAAATCAGGAGATGTATTGCACTGGGAAAGTCTGTAGTCAAGGACCTCTTTAAATTATTGATAAACAATGATGTCACTTTGAAGACTAAGGTGCACCTGATTCAGGCCATAGTCTTTTGTCACCTGTTATACATCTGCGAGCAGTACAATGAATAAGGATGACAAAAGAATAATTGATGTCTTTGAGTTGTGCTGTTGGAGTGCTGGATATCCCATGGACTGCCAAAACAGCAAACAGATATGTCTTGGAAGAGGTACAGCCAGAGTTATCCTTGGAAGCACAGTTGATAAAGCTTCACCTCACATACTTTGGCCACATTGCTAGGAGAGGCAACTGGAGAAGATTGCTAATCTTTCTCCACAGAGCGGTTGGTGGATTCAAATCATATACTTTTGGGATGCCAATGCATCTGCTTACCACTAGACCACCAGAACATCCTCAGTTATAGGCATCTTTTATAACTAATGGTAAAATAGGTATATGACTGGTGGCCTAGTGGCAAGAAGCTGCACGGCAATCCCAGAGGTATGCAGTTCAAATTCACCTGATGCTCTGCTGGAGAAGGAGGGGCAAGGCAATCTCTTGTACTAGTTAGATCCAATTTGACGGAACACACACACACACACACACACACACACACACACACACACACAAATGATAATAATAAATGAATAATCAAATGAAATTGTAGTTTCTCGGGAATGGGAATAAATATGGATCTCTTCCATTCAATCGATCAGGTAACTGTGCATGAATGATTGAATGAAAAACAAGCATGATTTGTAAACTTTAACTTAAATACAAATAAATTTAAGAGGGAGGGGCAAGTAGCAGTTCAAATCTAGGAGCAGCTCTGTGAGAGAAAAAATGGGACAATCTATTCCTATCACAAATTAATAGTCCTATGGAGCAATCTAGGGAGCTCTGGTGGCCTAGTGGTAAGAAAGTTCTGTAATCCCAAAGGCACACAGTTCAAATCCACCAGCTGCTCCAAGGGAGAAAAATGAGCAATCTCCCATGCAATTAACTGCCTCTGAAAACCCACTAAAGGGTCAGCTATGGGTTGGTTCCAACTCCACCGCACACAGCAACTACAGTAAAGTTACTAGATGTTACAGTTGGACTCGATGGCAATAGGTTCTATTTTTTTTTTTTGCTTATCTATTTTATAATCTTTCTATTATAATAACTGTAATACAATATGTTTATTATATTGATATAAACGTTTATATTTACAATTTCAGCATTTCTGAATACATGGACTTTTAACTCTGATTTGTAAAGTTTCATTTTACTTTGTAAGTAAATTAATGAAACTATCTCTTTTATAGGCCATAGTAAGTTCATTATACAGAGTATATCTTGGCTGATAATAAATTTTTATTTTTGTAGAACAAAACTGATCTAGAAGAAGCTTTAAAATTGTGACTTGAGTCATTCAACAGTAGGCTTCCATGATTCTATAGTTAGATAACATATTTGTACCCATGGAATGTTTGGACTTGAAAGGACTATTATTATAGACCAATGGGTTTCTAATGTCATTCGCTTTCTTTTTAAATGGGAATGCATTTACCAACACAGGCTATTGTGTTTTGATGAAAGCAATTTGTGTAATTTAGGATTATTCCCTTATATAAAATACAAGGTTGTTCTTGATTGCCTTTGAGTTGAGCATGACTCATAGTGACCCTATGAAGCTCCTCTCCAGCTATCAACATTTATCAAAGTTCATAGAGTTTCTGGAGGCATGTTGTTTAGGAAGTGGATGCCACTCCATGAAAAATGGTGTATATGAATGATTGTAAAATCACCAGAAGAAAAAAAAAATTATTTCCTTTACAAGTCAAAAACCTACAAATTAGACTTTTAATAAATTTTTAAACTTGATGTGTTTATTATTAGTGTTTGTTGCTTTCTCATCTTTCTGAGTTGAGTTTGACCATCACCTTTCCCCCCTTCCTAGCTTCCTTTGATGGGGAAAATCATTCTGTCCAGCTTCCTCCAGTGAACAGCGCATCATTTGCTCTTCGCTTTCTAGAGACCTTCTGTCAGAGCTTGCAATGTGATAATCTTTTGAGTAGCCAGCCTTTTAGCTCTTACAGGAATAATATTCATAGCCCTGTGAAGAATGAAAATGATAAACCAGGTGAGAGGAAATGAAAATTTTCATACTGTGCTTCCATTGTATCTTACATTTTGTAATTAATATGAAGATCTTTAATTCAGAATTGTTGTGTCCTCTTAACAGTAAACATTTTAGTCACAATGTACTTTTGTTAGGTCACATCTCATCAAGTATAACTCATAGTGACCCTATAAACAACAGGAATTTATAATATATAAATACTTTATGTAGAATGGAAGAATAATTGCTTGTGTTCATAATGAAATTGAGAATCAAAACCAATAGGTTATGTATAATTTCTTTTTTAAATTTTTTATGCTTTTATTATTAATTTTAATGAGAACTCACAGAGACTTTGGATTTCCATTCATTCATTGTTGCACTTTTCTCCCTGCCCACCCCTCCCCTCCAGTTCATTCTTCTCTTTGAAAAGTAAAAGAATAATTTCTTGATGATTAAATCACACAGTTATATATTTTAAAGTTACAAAGATTTTTGTTGCTGTCATTGAGAGAGAAGACAGTGAATGATCTGTTGGTATTTAACATTTGAGCGGTGATTGCACCTCTTCCACAAGAACCTCAAACTGATGTCTAAATAAGAGGGTGAGTGTAGTGTAGTCCTACAGAACCAAAGAGTGCTTGCTTTCTGTTCGTCTTTGAATTAAAAAAGCTTTTGAAAGTGTTGAGAGAGAGTTATCTCAGTTCTATCTGATTCATGAAGATTAACCATGGTCTGCTGACCATGACAGGGATTGTGTGTAGGTGCTATCTATTTAAGACCAGAGGTTGTCGCATTCCACTCAAATGTGAAGCTTTAGCGTCTCTTTAAGTTAATCCTTTTCTCTTGACCTACCTTGTCTCCTTTACTTCACTGATGTCTCTTATCTATTCCTTCATCTCTATTCCTATGATACTACACAGCATCAGAACCTTATTAGTCCCCTCTCTGGTTTAATAAACATTTTTTTACCTGGAACCCACTTTCCACTTTTGCCCTTGTAGTATAGCTACCCAGTGAATCCCTTTGAAAAGAAAGGTGTGATGCCTTGACGTTCCTTGCTAGCTAAAGTGCACATACATGAAGAGGCTAACCTCATATGTAACCCTGCCCGACAGCATAGGACTGCCTCCTTGGGTTTCCCAGGCTGTAATTTAGAGACGCAGATTCCACGTCTTCCATGAAGCAGCTAGTAGATTCATAACACTGACCTTTTCTTAGCTGCTAATCTGGAAACCACTATGAAAACAGTTTGGAATTTTCTTAGAGAGTTGGCAATAGAAATACCATTTGATACAGCAGTCCTTCTACTAGATATATAGCCTGAAGAAATAAGACCTGTGAAAAAAACAGATAAACACACTTGTTTACAATAGTAAAGAAATGGAAACAACTCAAATGCCCATCACCTGGTTAAATGGGTCAATGAACTGGTACTATGGAATACCATGCAACTAAAGAATGAGTTGGAGTGGACTCAACAGTACCCAACAGTGAACCAATTGCTGATTGGTTTTAATAGATGCCTAAAGAGTACTGTTCATATATGCTAAGCTCTGATTCAGATTTTTTAAAAGCCCCAAGAATGGAGCTATTTTAATTTGTTGTAAGAAAGATTAGGTAGTGACAATTTACTGGGAATAAGGCTTTTGAGGAGGCTCAAATCTTTTGTTCACTCTCCAGTGACTGCTCAACTGCTGATTTTCATAGCTACTATAGTTGGAACCCTGGTAATACGATGGTTTCACCATTCATATGCTAACCAAAATGTTGGCAGTTCAAATCCATCAGCTATGAGCAAGAGGAAGCAGTCTGCTTCCATGAAGACTTAGAGCAAGGCTACTGTGAAACTAGGGAGAAGATATTAGAGTAAATTAAAATGTCACAAAGCTCTCTGTTCTTACTCAGATTTGGACTTTTTTCGTGAATAAACAGTCCTTGGGTTGTTACTGACCTTTATTTTTCAACATTTAGAAAAAGTTTATTTTGACAATTTTTGCTAATATTTTCATTTCTTCCATGGAGGAATGAACTTTTGGAGGTTCTTAATATGCCATTCTAGAAGTGATCCTCTCTGATGCCTTTTTAAATATTTTTAAAGTCTAGCTTTTTCAAGTTACTACTGTAGGAGCTTTTCCTGGCCTTAGCATAATACTTTAGTTGTCTATTTTATGTTTACATCAACTACAGATGGTAGATTATTTGTAAGCTTTTCATAAAACACTGTTATTATGTACTGTCAGGTAGGAACCAACTCATAGCTGACCCTCCAGCATATTTTCAGAGACAGTAAATCACATAGAAGATTGTCCATCTATCTCCCTTGAAATAAAATAGTAATATGTTTCAAATAAAGGATAAGACTTTATGATCTTGCTAAGATTCTGAGATAAACATCTGGAGAAAACTATAATGCTAGAATTACCTGTATCATTAAGAAGACTAAGGAAAAAAAATCCATTATCTCTTTCCCTTAGACTTGTTCATGTGTGCCTTTCCTTATCTTTTTGTAATAAATATTGTTCGCCATGGAGTCAGAACGGACTCATAACTGACCCTCTTGTGGGTTTTGGTGCCGTCTGGCCTGATGTTAATTGTGTTTGGGATGAACATCCTTCTAAGTAGTACAGCACTGGTCTATCAGTTTGCTTTACTGAGGTAACTTGGAGTTGCTGTGATGCTGCACACTGTGCTATGGTGTATAAAATGCCATAATTGTTATCTATGATTGACAGTGTTTTGTGGAGCTCACAGATTAAGACAGGCTTGGAAGCAGGAGTGCCATCCACTTCCTAAACAGCATGCCTCTGGAAACTCTATGAACTTAGAGAAACGATGATAGTTATAGAACAGGGTTCAGGTCTTTTGTTCATAGATCACTATGAGTCATGCTCACCTCGACAGCACTTAGCAACAGCAAGTGAGTTTTCAGAGGCAGTAAATCACACGGGATGAGATGCCCATCCTTCTCTCATGGAGCAGCTGGTAGATTCAACCTATGTGCCTTTGGGATTGTAGCATAGCTTTTACCAGAAGGCCAGCAGAGCACCCTTTCTAAAAGTAGACTCATACAGTAATGATCCTTTTGTGACTGACTGACTTCACTCAGCATACTGTCCTCCAGATTATGTTTTATTGAATTTTGTTACTATTGCTGGAATGAGCTTTCTTCAGAACTTAAACAAGTCTGCCTTATACAAATATTCTATCTGTTGTGGATAGAGTTCTTCAGGATTCAGTGGAACAGTATTAGTAACTTGATTGCTAAAGTTTGCTTATCAGATGATTTTGAGGTCAGTTCTACTCTGTCCTGAAGCATCACCTTGAATCAGAATTTATTCTGACACTGGTTTGGGTTTTACTTGGCCCTAGCCAGACTTTTGAACAGGATAATATTTTACTTCGGTGCTTTTTCATTGCTATGTTTTTCCCCCTCTTGGGGCTTATTGAACATTTTGTTTTGATTTCTGTTTTACCTTATTTGTCCTTTTAGCTGAACCTTAAACTCAAGAAACTGGTTGGTATTTCAGGTGTAGTTGATAACTTGAAGTATCTATTTATGATAATACTTTTTTTAAAATTTTTTTATGATAATATTTTTAAAAATGGTTCTCTGAGCAGAAATACTTCGGGTTGAGAATGATAACTAAGCAGTGTTGTTGATTGCTGTCAACTGTCGTTTCTCAAAGTTCATAATAGAGTTGTTTAAAGGGTAGCCTTAAGGCAGAATTGTTACATACAGAATGAGGTGTTCATTGCACTATATCCTGTTATAATTCTTCTCTTGTTCATGGAACATTTTGCCCATACCGTTTTAGACATATTATTAACGAGTTATCTCATTGCTTCCTAATGTATGTTAAGAAATTTGATGGCCCAAGAATAATGAACCTAGGCATACTCCTTCTAGAAATGCTTCTAAATCATGAATTTTGATAATATTGAAATATTTAATAGAATGACTTAAAGATATCCTTTCAGAGAGCTCTGACTATGAATACACCACCATTCTTCTGTTTTTCATTCCCATTATAGCATACCATATGATTATCTGATTCAAAGTGGCCAAAGCTGGTCTATCTCATGTCTGTAATGCCTAGTATGTCATATATTCCATTTCATTTTCCATAATTTCTAGTTTTTCAACATTCAAGCTATGTTCATTCCATGTCCCAGTTATTAACATATTTATGTCAATATTTTTCCTCATTTCGACTGACTTTTAATCTGGGCTTTACCACTACACTACTATAACTATCTGTATTCCTCTAGTATTCATAGACTTTTTCAGAAGCCTGTTACTTAAGGAATGAATGGCTAATCCTCCTTTCTAGTTTTTCTTAATCTGGGAGCTCTATTAAAATCTGTCCACCATGGGCAACCCTTATGGCATTTGACACACCAGTGGCATAGCTTTCAATATTGCAGCAACCCACAAGTTATCTCTATAGCAAACTGACTGCTGTACCAGTTAGAACAATATCCTCCTCAAGCACAACAAACTGACAGTTTGTAACTCTAATAGCAAATTAGTCTTCGCACCAACCAACTTTTAATGACAAAGTGCCACTCACTAGAAATTAGGAGATGTATTGCAGTAGGAAAGTCTGGAGTTAGGGACCTCTAAATTATTGAGGAGTAATAATGATGTCACTTTGAGGACTAAGGTGCACCTGATTCTATGGTTGATCTGATCACTTGCTGTGCATCTGAGAGTTGGACAGTGAATAAGCATGACAGCAGAAGAATTGATGCCTTTGAGCTGTGGTGTCAGAGAAGAGCACTGAACATCCATGAACTGCCAAAACAAACAAATATATCTTGGAGAAAGTGCAACCAGAGTGCTCTTTGGAGGCAAAGATGCTGAAGCTTCACCTCACATACTTTGGGCATATTGCTATTTCTTGGAGAGGGACATCATGTTTGGAAAGGCACAGGGTTGACAAAGGAAAGGAAAACCCTGAACCAAACACTCTAACACAGTGACTGCTGCAACAGACTATAGTATGTCAGAAAGTGTGAGGATGGCAGGATAAGAAAGGGTTCAGATCTGCTGTTCATAGGGTCACTATGGGTCGTACTCAACAGCATCTAACAAAACAATAACAACTTTATTGTACATATAGAAATTGTTGAGATGACATGTACATACTTTCACAATAATAAAAATGTTTTGAAAGCTTTAAAAATATGTTATTAATCAAATAATTGATAATTTGTTGATGAATTTATAGTAGGTAAATGGTTTAGGGACAGAATGTTTTCTGATGATGATAAGAATGTGCTCACATATATTAATTAATTATAACAGACATCTTTGTTTTTTGAAAACAGAAAAAGATGACTTATCAGGAAAGAAAAGCACCAAACGATCTTCTCAGCAACATCTACCTTATACTGCTTCTCTCTCTCCTAAGTTTCCCAAAACCAAGGTGCTTGCCTCTAAAGGTAATTAGTATTATATATCTCAGTGATTGGGAAGAAAAGTCCTTCTTCCACCACTGTCCTGGGCTCTGGTGCTGCTGGTGGTGGTGGTGGAGGGTAGGAGACTATATTTCCCTAAATCACTGTGGCAGTTCAGCCACTTCAGCAGCTTTGGTGAGTATTTTATTCCCTTCACAAGTGTCCACCTATCTTTTCTTTTGGCAGAAACATAGTTATGATAACATTTCCAATTCAGCTTTGCAATGCTAAAAGCTTTTATAAAGAATAGGGAAAACACCCTAGAACCTCCACAGCTCATGACAGTTGGAAATAGTAAGCAGAAGTTAGAAATCAACTGTATGAATATATTATAATGAATAGTTGTAAGGGACTTGATTCCTAAAAATTAATGCTTTAGTCAAGTGTTCACAGCCTTGGTGGCAAGATTAGAAGGAGATTGTTACTTTGAAATACAGATGATGTCACAGAATTGTTTTGGACTTGAGGACAGAGTCCATTACTGTAAATGCCAAGGAAGGGATGGCAGTGTACTTTAAGGGTTTGTGATTCAATATTAGGTAAGTTGAATGAACCATTGTAGGGAATGAAGACATTTTTTACCTTTTATTCCTTTTAGAGCTGTAAGTATATTGAAAATAATCATAACTGTCTTTTTCCTTATAGCAGAGTTGTTAGCTCCAGAGGAAAATGGTAACACCAGAGAAGAAAATCTTCCTGAAGAATCCAATAGCCCTTCAATACACTCGGCACATTCTCTGAATTCTTTCTGTAGAAGTCTTGTAACTATTCAGACCTCAAAGTCTCGGAATTTTGTTCAACGTCTGCCAGGTGCCTCAAGTTCAGTACTAGTTGGGAACAAATTTTTTGCCAAGAGCCGTCACCATGAAGTAAACAGGATGCAGATACAGTGGAAAAATGATGGTATATTAAAAAAAATAGTGATTGTCAGCCATTGTTGTCCTTCTGCTTGAGGTTTCCATGCCCAGCAGCATCTCTCTTGAGATACTAGAGAAAGTGCCAATTGGGGAGCCAGAGTGTTCCCATTCAACTCTATCAAGGCCAAACAGACATGGTATCTAGATAATCCAGTCCTCATAATAGCCTCAAAACATTTTGTGGGTATCTAGATCACCAATCAAATCTCTATAGAGCTTCTCATATCAGTAGTCTTTGATCATTTGTAACTTGCCATTTACTTGAGTGCTGTCTGGACTCCACAGATCTCCCATGATTCTGAGGTCTGGAAAAACACATTACTTTCCTTTCTCATTTACTCTGTTTTGTTCTCTTGAAACTTTTCCTGACTCCAGTCTGTGTTTACCTCCTGGGTCCCAGCACTGGAGTCCTTTCACTACAGCCATCACTTTCCCATTCTCCCCATCCTCAGTTATTTCCTCCGATTCACCAGGAGGATGTCATCTGTATAGACAGGGAAGCATTCCGTTGTCATTTGTCGTCCCAGAATAATCTTCCACATGCATACATGCCTTTTAGGAATTTGAGTGCAGGGTGATGGCTGTAGGAATAAATGTTTTTGTCCTTTATTTTCAGATACATAGAAAGCTAGGCAAAGTTAAAGAGTGAAATAGGAGGTAGGAACCAAGTAATTTCTTTCTCCTTCTTCATGGATAATATCTCTGAGCAGTCACCCTTACACACACTATTATACATTTACTGTTGTAACCCTCCATCCTCTGCTCACCATGGAGGTTGTCTCTGCCCTTAAAGTAATAGCATTTGCAGAAAATTGGGAAATAGATGTTTATTCCATAAAAGGGTAATGTGCCTTGAATTTTCAATGTCTTCCCAAAATATCAGCTGTTGCAGGCAAGCCTTCTCAATAAAAGGTGACAATGAAGATTACCATTCCAGATCTCTGCCTAACATTACCATCCAGAGTAGACTGTAAAAAAGTCAGATAGCTTTGAAAAAATTAGCTTCTTGTCCTCCTAGGAGCTGAAAGGCTAATAGTGATGTTACTTCATCAGCACCACCACCATCATAATTTTACAGTATCTTCCAGATACATAATATAAGGTATATATTCTTTACAGTAGTCCCTTTAGACGTAGGTGCTGGTAAATATTTCACTGAAAAAAATCTGAAAACTCACTTGTTTAAAGTCCTCGTCCTATTAAATGGATGGCCCAGGAAGACAGATTTTCATTGAGAGAAATTCATTGAAATACTGGGAGAGTAATTGATTTGATTAAATTAACCTAAATGAACCCAAGCAGTGAACCTTTGGCTGCAATTGCCTATGGCTAAAAAGACCTTGGACTGCTCAGTGTGTTTTATGATCATGGAAGCTTTAAGATAACTTCTGAAGCTGCTTTTCTGGATAACTATCTTCAGACCACCTTTAACTAGGCTTTCACAGATTCGCACATGGAGTTTTGGATCCTCGCTGGGTTCTTGGGATAAAACTGTTCCTCTTTACATAACTTCTCTTCTTTCAGGATAAATGATCAAATCAAGTATTATTTTTCTTTTTTTTCTCCTTATTAAGCTGTAAGTTATTCAGTTGGACCTGACCCCAGTACTCTGAAAACAAACTACTTTAAGGACCCTACACACTGGACTGTAGAAGAAGTGATTGAGTTTATGAGACAAATAGATCCTCAGACATCAGCCCCCCTCGCGGATCTCTTCAGGCAGCATGTAATGTATCTTGTATGGTTTTTATGTGCTGTAATCCCTTTGGATAACCTTTGTATAGGCCCTTCAGTTGGTACTGATTAATGTGGATGATAGGAGAGCCTTCTCAACTGCTTTCTCATATCTGTAAAGGGTTAGTCCACCCAGATGATTTCATCATCACCCTTCTCAGACTTGTCGTCAACCACTTTGTAATGGCAGCTCCAAGTATCCTGCCCCTATCTCCCCAGCCAGCCCCACTGCTAGGAGCAGGAGAGAATGGCCACAAACTGGAATTGATTTCCTTATTATAATACTCAGTGAGCCCAGCCTGATTCCATTTAGTTCAGTTCTGTTAATCTTTGGCTGTTGGTGATTTGTCATGCAGATGCCCTCTTGTTACTGGATTACTTTTTCAAGTAACTCCATGAACTAAGATTTTATAAGTTCAAATTTCTTAGTTTTACTTGGTGTGAAAGTATAAGGTGCCTGATGAAAGCAGTAATGTGAGATATTTCAAGAATTTTTTTTTAGACAGTGATCTATGAATTAGTAAAATTTTAATTTTAACCTAAAACTTGGAAAATCAAATGCTTTAGCATAAGTTGTTAGATTAAGATAGTGATGAATTTTTGTTACAAGATACTTTCTAACAAGTAATGCTTTCATAGTATTTTCTAACTAATTAGTGGCCAAATATCTGATAAACCTTTCTCAATAATTTAAAAATCAATAACTAGTTTTAGCATCGCATTACTTTTATGCAACTAAGTAGTGAGTTTCAACATAAAGACGACACTATGGAATGTTGACAGTGCCGATATGGGCAAACTTTGTGGTCCTTTCTAAGAATGTTAAGGAACATCAGAAATTTATTTCTACCATTCATAGTTGCTGACTTTTTTCTCATAGATATGTGTCTCTCTGGAGACTAAGATGCATCTGATACACACCATGGTCTTTGCTATCACTTGTTATGCATTAGAGAGTTGGACAGTGACTAAGGAGGATAGAAGGAGAATTGATGCCTTTGAGCTGTGGTGCTGGAGAAGAGTATTGAGGATATCATGGACTGCTAGGAAAACAAACAGATTTATCATGGAAAGACTTAAACTGGGCAGCTCCTTGGAGGCAAGGATTCTGAGGCTTCGTCTAACATACTTTGGACACGTTGTAAGAAGGGACCGGTTCTTGGAGAGGGACATCATGCTTGGGAGGGTGGAGGGACAGCACAGGAGGGGAAGGCCCTCTATGAGGTGGATTGATTCAGTGACTGGGGTAATTGGGATGGGCATATCGGAGACAGTGCGACTGGCACAGGACAGAGCAGAGTTTAGGGCTGCTGTACATAGGGTCGCTATGAGTCGCAAGTGACTCAATGGCACATAACAGCAACAACAACTTAGTATTTTGTTTAAGACATGGTATTTAACATCAAATATTTTGACACATAGGATGCTTTTTAAAAATTGTTGTTAGATACCAACCTTTATGACTCATAGTGACTAGATTAAATTTCCTTTATTTAATTTATAAATTATGAAATGCTGGTTTTTGTATAAGCAATATTTTTAGGAATTGTTATTAACTAGATGCATATGAAAAGAATATGCATTTGGACTATACGGCTGCACTGTTGTTTATATATTTTTACTTATAAAATATAACTTCTCACAAAGTAATAATAATTTTTTTATCTCTATAGGAAATTGATGGAAAGGCTCTGCTGCTACTGAAAAGTGATGTGATAATGAAATATATGGGGCTGAAACTGGGACCAGCATTAAAACTATGCTACTACATTGAAAAACTTAAAGAAGGAAAATACCATGGAAAAATATGCTAGTGCATGTTTAGATTAGACATATTTCTCAGGTGTAGTGATAACTATGAATTTAAAACCATTTCTCTATGCTTTGCAGTTTTTGTTTTATTGGAACGTTCCTCTAAAAAGATGTCATATTCAGAACTGCAGAAGTACATTATAGTCCATTGTTCTTTGTTAAAATCTATTTAATGTGTTTATATTAACATATTCAAGTTAGCAGTTCATTCTGTGTATCTATTTTTGTAATTGTAAAGTTTACAAATATGCTTAATTTAGGAAGCAGGAAAACCTTTGATTTTGGTTAATGTTTATATATAGAACCAAAACAGCTAAATTCCAAACGGGAAGATATCAGGGACTGAGAAGTTCTATGATTAAATCCATGAAAATTTTTCCTTAGAAGAATGAAAAGGTACAACTATAGATATCATCTCTTTCTCAAGTATTTTTTCTATCTGGTGATGCAATATTCTATTCATGTTCTATCAGTTTTCAGAAAGGGAATAGCCATATAAATTATTTCCTTTTCTGTTATTTCTCTGTGTTATATTTGTTCATATTTAAAGAAAAGAAGAGAACAAGCTTATAAGCTTTCATGAAGTGTTCTTATCAACTTTTTTGTATGAACTATAGAATAGATAGAACGGTCATTTTATGCCGGAAATATTTATACTACAAATTTGGATGGCATCTGATTTAATTTTTTTAATGTATATTGTTTTAAAACTCCGTATTTTGGCTAAGCTTGAACATTTAACTAGGCATTCATTACGCACATCTCTATAACAAAATACCTGTGTTTGATTTTTTAAAAGATATATATTTTAATGTATGTGTTTATTCTTCATATTAACTGTATCATATTTATATTTTATTCTATACCTGTAGGTATATATACAGGTAAATCTTTTCTTTTTGAATCTAAAATGGCACTTTGCACTGCCACAGATGTAATGATGAACTTTGTATATAATTAGATGTTTTTATTCTGTAAAAAATATATGCATCATTTGCTATCACTAGGACCTCTCAGCTTATTACTCTTCAGGGCATAAGAAACAATCAGTAGATTGGTTTCCATACAGAGAAGTTCTCTGTCCTATGCAATGTTTCTAGTTAATATGTTTAGTGTTTAGTTCTGAGCCACATATTATGCTAAATTTTGGAAGATGTATTAATTCTGACTTCTCATTTTGGGCTTTCTTTTAAAACTTAAAACTTTCAAGGGGAGATGGTGCTATATGTTTGTTATTAGTTTGTATAACCTTCAGTGTAATATTCATAAGCTATGAGAATCAGTGCTAATAATATTAGCCATTTGCTGTAAATGCCAACAAAATATATACCAGAATTCATAATGTACATGTTTTTAGAAAACCAAATGTACTTTATATATAAACACAACTATTTACTAGGTATATGTGATTTAAAGGGTAGCTTCATCTGTGCTATTCATTATATTCTGTAGGGCAAGATTCTAACTTGGTCTTTTTTCTAAATTTTTCGGGTGATGATTTTATACCCAGTTAAGCATTCCTCAGGTGTTTCTATAAAGAATATGTTCTGGAGTTTGGAGATTTTAAAGTACAATAAAGTTAAATAACCATAACAGTGTCATAGCCTCAGGCTTTATTTCACTTGATTTTATTGAATTAATGTATGAAGCTGTTACAGTTGACAAAGAATAATTCTAATGAATTTGTTTATATGTGGTTTTAATAATTAAATTTTTACATTTTACCTTATTCTACTAGTAAATAGGTACCTAGGAGCAAAGAACTGATTTCTTGCAGAGAACATAAATAAGAGAACAGGGAACAAGTATTATTAGGTATTCTCTGCATGAGCTTTATTTATCCTTAAAACTCATTCTTTACAGTGTTACCAGCTTTATGAGCATACTAGAAAATGCTAATTGTTGTGTGCCATAGAGTGGATTTCAACTTATAGTGATGCCATGTGACAACAAAAAACTCTCTCATAGGGTTTTCTAGGTTTTAGTTTTTATAGAAGCAGGTCCCCAGATCTTTCACATAGAACCCATAGTTGGGTTTGAACCACCAACTTTTTTTATTAGCAAGCAAGCACTTAACCAAAGTGCCATTTTAGAAAAATACCAGTGGTTTTATAATTTTTTCTGCTAAGATTAGTAGCAGACCAGTTATAAGACGTATCAAGTCAATATTGTCACAAATGCTTGACCTGCCATGATTTTCAGGATCAATGGCTACTCCTTTGTCCATTTCCCTAGCTCCTCTATATCTCTTAGGTTTGGTGGTAAGCTAGAAGGCCTCCCAGAGACTCAGACCCATCAGGGGGATGACTCATGTGACCATAGGTATGCAAGCTGGTTTTGCAGAAACTGGTTAGCAATAAGCAAGGATCCTGTAGACTGTCAGTTGTAACTCAGCTGAATGGTGACTGTGGGTGATACAGGCTGATAGTGTGGACACTGGTGAGCAGTGGGCCAAGATCCTGTAAACTGTCAGTTGTGGCGCAGCTGCATGCTATGTCACAGGTAAACAAGTGTTCTACAAGAAAAAGAGCCTAGTGCTGAGGTCCCATGAGCCTACTATATATGCCTCTAATAGGATGGGGCTTGTATCCCATCCTATTCCTCTCTTCAATACAATAATTATTTCAGCACAAAATAAACAGTTAATGATTGGGTAGGAAAGACATTTGAATGATAAACCTTAAACACCAAAGGGTTATCTCCAAGATACTGGCTTCTTTGAAAATGTCAATGCCCCCCCCCCACACCAGATACATTGTCCTATATGAGTTTATATTATTTGGCGTTTACATATTTTGCATATATATATGTATGTATGTATATAGCTTTCTAGTATCTTCTTGAAAGATAGACTGCTGTTTGTTTTGTCCACCATCTTATCTGGAAGTCCAATTTCAATAAGATGCATCATTTAGCTTTGTTGTTGTTGTTATGTGCCGTTGAGTTGCTTGTGACTCATAGCGACCCTACGTACAACAGCCCTAAACTCCGCTCTGTCCTGTGCCAATCGCACCGTCTCTGACACTCCCATCCCAATTATCCCAGTCACTGTATCAATCCACCTCATAGATGGCCTTCCTCTCCTGCGCTGTCCCTCCACCCTCCCAAGCATGATGTCCCTCTCCAAGGACCAGTCTCTCCTCACAACATGTCCAAAGTATGTTAGACGGAGCCTCAGAATCCTTGCCTCCAAGGAGCCACCCGGTTTAACCCTCTCCAGGACAAATCTGTTTGTTTTCCTAGCAGTCCATGGTATTCTCAATACTCTTCTCCAGCACCACAGCTCAAAGGCATCAATTCTCCTTCTCTCCTCCTTGGTCATTGTCTAACTCTCTGATGCATAATAAGTGATTGCAAAGACCATGGCCTGTATCAGACGCACCTTAGTCTCCAGAGAGACACCATTGCTCTTCAGTACTTTGGAGAGGTCCCTAACAGCAGACTTTCCCATGGCAATGCACCTTTTAATTTCTATACTCAAATTTCAACAAGTTCTTGTTGGGTGCCATCAAGTTGGCTCCAGCTCATAAAACCTTGTCTCATCCTATGCCATCCTCACAATATCCACTGTGTTTAAGTCCACCGGTGCAGTCACTGTTTCAGTCCATCTCGTTAAGGGTCTTCCTGTCTTTTGATGACCTCTGCTGATTAATATAAAACTTAAGAAGAAGACGTCTTACATTATTTTTTTTTACTATCTTTAAAGTCTAGTGCTTGTTTTTTCCTTCCAGGACACCCATGTCAACTTGGCCTAGCCCATTTCAAGTGCTCAAGAGCCACCTGTGGCTGGTGACTACACGATTGAACACTTAGTTCTAACAGTTCCCAAAATGTAGTGTGATGTGTATGACAACAATCTGGAACAAATTGTGCATTGCAGGGTGGGCTGGGTGATAGGGGGAAGAAAATGTGCAACAATGGGGAAAAAAATTAATTCGTAGAAGGTCCCATTCATCTATTTTATTCTCTCCTGGTTTTAGGTTTTTCAGGATGCCTGTGAGACTGTTCACGTTGTAGATAAGGGATTCTAGAGTACTACTAAGCCTTTCTCTGATGAAGGTTTCTCTGATGAAGGTTATAGTCCTTGGTTTTACTCGTGGGCCCTTGATCCACTAAGGTGTGAGTCTTGCTTGAGTTTTCTACAGATAGTTTTCCAGTCAAATCCCTATGCACATCAAAAAATTTCTCCAACAGGGTAAAATTGAAAGCTACAGACTGAGAAGAAATATTTGGTAATGACATGTCTGATAAGGGACTTACATCTAGAATTTATATACTACTCTAGCACCTCAACAAGATAAATGTAAACAACCCAATCACAAAATGGACACAGGATATGAACAGCCACTTCACCAAAGGAGTGAACAAACACATGAAGAAATGTTCAAAATCCCTACCTCTAAGAGAGATGCAAATCAAAACAACTACGAGATACCATCTGACTCCAGTAACAATAGCAAACAAAGTTCAACAGAGTAACAAACAATACATGCTGGTGAGGTTGGGGGGAAAATTTGAACCCTATTCACTGTTGGTGGGAGTGTAAAATGGTGCAACTACTATGGAAGGCAGTATGGCACTTTCTCAAAATGTTAGAAATACCATTTAACCCAGCAATTTCACTACAGGGAATATATCCTAAAGAAACCAGAACTGCCACTCAAACAGATATATGCACATCCATGTTTACTGCTGTGTTGTTTACAATAGCAAAGAGATGGAAGCAACCCAAGCACCCATCAACAGATGAATGGGAAGAGAACAACAAATGAATGTGTGGTATATTCACACAATGGAATACTACACAGCACTGAAATATAAGGAATTAATAAAATATACAAAATTGGTGACCCTAGAGGACATTATGCTGAGTGAAATATCTCAGTCACAAAAGAACAAATATTGCATAATGCCACTCTAAAACAGGACTGACATGGGGGTGGGGGGGAACTAAGTAAAGAAAGGGTAAATAATGAACACTGCATTGAAACAGATGAGGGAA